CGCGATATTGACAAAAAGATATTTTGACAACAGTACTTGATATTTTGGGTCGGATATACCCCCGTCACGCCCTCAGTGCTACTCGATTCACCTATCCAATGCCCACAACAAAAATTGCAACAATTTTTACAAGGGTGACTGCAGACGATAAACCCGCACCCTCAGATTAGCAAAGCGGAGTTATAACGTCTGCATTTGCGGACTATATAGCCCGCGGATAGCTGCCGTTTATTTTATTAAAACATCACGACATCGAAATCACGCAAACTTTGCTACACACAAAACTGCCAATCTTGCATTGAATCGCACAACGACATTTCTCACCGGCCAATGAAATCATCGCTGTGACGCTGTCCGGTGCGGTTCAAATGCAAGATTGGCAGTTTTGTGTCTAGCGAAGTTTGCCTGATTTTTATGTCGTGATGTTTTAATAAAATAAACGTGATTAAAGAGGAGAATACTGCATGACAAGTGTTTTGTAATGTAGGTAAGATGTTAATAAAGCGACGGCTTTAGGTATTTCTTTGATTTTCTATGTAACACGGCCGTAAATAATAAAAAGGTTGTACTTGTCATGCATTTTGCACGACAAAATTCACCACAGGTTTTGTCTATGTAAGGGTATTGAGCCCTAAAATAACATCAGAATATAAAAAATTTTAGGGCACAATTTATTGGTCTGTATGCACTGGCTGCTTGACCTGACACCGGTTGAACCCAAAAATACTTGCCAGTCTTGCGAATATTTTATAGCGATCGTTTATTGTTCATGCTAGAAATCGAGTGTATGTAGTCATGCCAGTGTGTAACCCGACCAGGCTGTGTGACTAACGTCAATATACACAGTCTGACATCCATCTATTGGATAATCTTGTACCTCTACAAAAACTGCCGAACAATTACGTATATCTCAAATAAAATAATCATCTAAGCATTTCTGCCTTTTTTTTGTATCAAGTATAACCTTCACCTTATAGTATTCCAGTGTTGTTATTAAAACTAATACCTCAGTTTGCTGTGGACAGTGTAAATTTCAAGAGCCGAACCTAAATTTCCCTTTAACCACCAACTGCATGTTTCCACTGCGCATGCTTTTCGATCGGAACGCGGAAAACCCGAAACGACGTAACATACCATAGCGTTGCAACTCGCGTTGGTGCGAGCATAAATAAGCATCATATACTCGTATATATATATAAACTAGCGTGATACCCGGCATTGCCCGGGGAAATCAGTGGTGTTACTGAGTTGGTGACCACTTGGTTGAAATGAAAATACACAAAAAAATCGAACTATCTATCCATGCATCCATTCATGCATCCATCCATCCATCGCATTCCATGTCATCCCATCCCATCCCATCGCACCGCATCCCATCCCATCCCATATCCCATCCCATCCCATGCCATCTCATCGCATCCCAGGCCATGCCATGCCATCCCATCCCATCATTTTCAAGCTCATTTAACGCAATTTTTATTGAGGTTTGCACATTATTGATGGTACAAAATTTATTTTTATTACAGGCAAGGATTCTTTCTAAAAATTCAAGGAAATTTCCATGAAATTCAAGGACATTTCAAGCACAAAATAAACATTTACTAAATTCAAGTACTTTTCAAGGACTCCCCTCAAATTCAAGAGAAACAAAGATGGAAGCTGTTGGATGTGTATTCGTGCTGTGAAAGTGTGAAATCAAGCGAGCGTCGAGCAAATTTAGGGATCCCGCTTTCCTACCTGCTATATATATATAAGTGTCAGTGTGCACACTACAGCCGCGTACGGAATGGCGGCAGTCAGTGTTTGTTGCACATAGGATTTGGACGGAATTTACAGGAAACTGTCGGCAATAATAGGTGAAAGAGAGTATAGAAACATTAAGAATTTGGTAGTAAATAGATTTCGTGTTTAGTTAGCATTATATTATATTGAAACGCTTCAAGTGCCTGTGATCACGACCAGTGATCACAGGCACTTGGAACGTCTCAATAAAAAAAATTAATGGTAAATAAACACGAAATGTACCAAAGTCTTAATGTTTCTCTACTCTATTTCGCCTATAATCACCTGTAAATGCCGGTCAAATGCTCATCTGCAACACACAAGTACACCGCACGCCCGTCCGCCCTGTGCTGCGTGCACAAACAACATGAATAAGAGAGCAGGTAGGAAAGCGTGATCGCGAAATTCTCTCGACGCTCGCTTCATTTCACACGATCACAGAACGAAAACACATCCAACAGCTCCCATCTTGGTATCTATGTGTACATAAATGTTCACTTGTTCGTATTATAACTCTGGCCTTTGTTCTTACCTACTCCCGCCTGAGATATCTCGTGAAATCCTGCAGGAAATGTTCTCTCCGTGAAAATGTAGAGGACGGTATCATCCGAAAATCCCTAACGGTGCTACTTTCGATCAATCGCTGTAGTCGTGTGTGCGTGACGTCATGCCTGCGCGCATTGTGCTTGGCTTGGCGGGCCTCGAAACGGAGCTCGGAGGCTGGCAGCAGCTCATCCCAGCATGCAATGCGCCCCATTACTCGTGTATAAACAGACATCTCGTCCTCTTTACATTTTCACGGAGAGAACATTTCCTGCAGGATTTCACGAGATATCTCTGGCGGGAGTAGGTAAGAACAAAGGCCAGAGTTATAATTCGAACAAGTGAACATTTATGTACACATAGATACCAAGATGGGAGCTGTTGGATGTTGGATGTGTTTTCGTTCTGTGATCGTGTGAAATGAAGCGAGCGTCGAGCGTCGAGCGAATTTCGCGATCACGCTTTTCTACCTGCTTTCTTATTCATGTTGTTTGTGCACACAGCACAGGGCGGGCGAGCACTGAACATGGCGGCTGTCTGGTTGTGTTCATTCAATTTATCTCAGAAAATACGGCATAACTCGATAAATCAGTAGCGCCCAGTAGCGCCCAGTTACCGCGAGTAAGCCAGAGGTTTATAGATTCGTTTGAGCTATTACATACGTGACGCTAGCTGTGGCGATGTTTGGATACCGTGCCAACTACAAGTTTTTATGGGCAAGAATTTGAAACGGTCTCCTAACCCTAGCAAAGACCATTTCTTGGAGCTAGCCAGTGTGATGCTAGCTATGTAATTTAGAGGCCACGAAAGTGGAGGGGTGCTGGAACTTGGAAGAAGGAATTGTTAGTTTCCTGTTTCTCACGCACCTTAACTTACCTTGTTAGTTTTCCCTACTTGGGATAGAGGACACTTCTGACAGACATGAGACATTCTATTAATTGATGATAAATTTTATTCTCATATTTCAGACAGAAAACCGGTATTGCTATTCGGAGAGTTTCTGCCAGGAATGTCACCAACGCCCGTAGAAGCCGCCCCCACGGGAGCTGGGCAGTTGGTATCCATGGCAACAGCGGCGACTCAACAGCAGGGTGCCGGACGCATCTCGCTTGCGGTTCTAATAGACTACATTGTGCAGAGAACTTACCATGACCTTACCGTCCTCTCAGAACTGTATGTGCTTTTCAGTGCATGGAATTTATGCTATGGACAGATCGGTTCAAATCCTTAAACTTTATTGAAACTGTGAAGTTTGGTAGTACAGTCCGACCTCCTTTATCCGGCCATCCGTTATCCGGAAATCTCTATTAACCGACCGCGATCTCGCAGTGTATGTTCTCTGTTTTTCATTCATTTCCACCTAAAAATCTTGCTCAAAGCTCGCGCGATGTACCAACCGAACATGTGTTTGCGTGTGTGCGCGCGTGTGTGTGTGTTGTCCGCTCGTGTCTGCTATGCCTCTGGTAAAATTTCTGTTTTATTACATTTTATTTCCATTTCATATAAACCATAAAACATGACATTTGTTACAAATAATCATAGCAACGAGTAAATACATTATTACATGCATAAACCCTACTGAACTGCATAGAAATGCTGTGTTTGAGCATAACTCTCATATCCGGCCAAATCCCATATCCGGATGGGTGCCGGTCCCGACGTGGCCAGATAAAGGAGGTCGGATTGTATACAGAATTTAAAATCTTGCAATAGGTCTTAGCTTGTGTTTAGACAATACAGGATTATTTAATTTATAGTTCAGTCACGTGAACATTTGACCCACAGGCCAAATGCATACTTAGTAAATCTATGTACGAACAAATACATTTTATATACAAGTATTCTGAACGTGAGAATTTAGCATAACTTAAATACATGGTAATATTTTCTTGTAGGTTACCTAGAAAGTCGGACATTGAACGGTATGTTAATGCAAACCAATCGACTGTCACCAGCATTGACATTTAATTAATAAATAATATTATTGAAATCTTTAATACAGTTAATATTTAAGTGTACCTTAAAGTTATTAAAAATATATATCTTAAATACCAACAATTTTGTAAACTAAATTACATATATATATATTTAGTTTATCAGAATTTTATTGCATTATATGTAATTTAAGTAATATCCTTTTAAATGTTCACAAATTATTAATTCCATTTGTCAATTTAAAAAAAAATTGTAGAAAAGTCATATATTTATTATTCAACAAGATTCACCGCGCCTGAGGCGAATAATTGTTTTAGTATCATTGCCCGATATTTGGTACTTTTGGGGACAGCATTTTCTTTAAATTTGTAAATTTCGGCTTCCGTAACATTTTACAAATCTAGCCGCCATTTTTGGCGCCACTACAATGTAAACCCTAGAGGTGATTATCAAAAAATAATCACCTAGGTCTCGACCAATCAGCGCGCAGGATTTCCTATAATCACTCGGGCGATGATACTAAATATCCCACCCAGATAATAGGTGGTAGGAGTGTATTTTTGTCGATCGCTTTTAACAGTAGCTGCTATATATTCCAGGAAAGTGGAGATAGTTCAACTGGCACATAAGACAAGGCAGCTGTTCATTAGGTTGTTAGCACTGGTGAAATGGGCCAACAGTGCAGCGAAAGTATACAGATGTAGTGTAAGTAATCTCATGTATCTTGTCAGTGATATTCAAATGTTCTCACACATCTCAAGTGGAATGGAGATTCTTCTTGCCAGTTAACTTCCTGGTATTGCAGAGCCAGTCATGTCTGTGTTAGCTTTCAAGCTAACAGAATGGTTATGTACATTTGTGATATTTCTATTGTGGTCTATGATTGTATTAGATGATACACAGAGTGGGGAGTGAGTTTCAAATTTTTTTTTAACATGTTTCTAAACGTACTACTATGTTGAATATCTTTCTAGAAGGTCTACTGTCAGCCGCAGGAAACGATGCATTCCGTGGTTCATAATGCGATTTCTCATACGTTTACTGTTTCTTTGCAGGATATCATGATGTTCTTGGATCAGCAGGCGATGTTGTTTACAGACACGGCGGACATGTTGGCTCAGATTGCACGTGAGAAGCTAGTAAATGCTAGGTACACTGTCAATCCAATATAACATAGGAGACCGAATCCAAAATTTTGGAACGCGTTATAAATGATATAGAGAATTAATGCCATAGTACAGCGACTAGTGTTAGATTGTTGAAATACAGCTAGTTACTATTAATGACATAGCTAATAATAATAAATACTAAACTAAATAATCATAATACACTATGGCATCTATCAGATGTTTTCTCCATGAAAACGACTGTCTTCCGAACATGTATTTGTATTTGAATTACATGCGATAAAGATTTAATAATAATAATAATAATAATAATGACAACTGTATGACACTCCCCTGTATTTTTTGTTGGTTGTTATTTCAGATTACCAAACTTCAGTCTGCCCCTGGCAGTAGACGTACTAACAACGGGCACGTTTCCACGTCTGCCAGCATGCATCAGGGTAGGTGTGCTTCTTACTGCAATGCTGCTAGCATCACCATCACAATCACCCTGTCACCATTACTACCTAGCCACTATTACCAACTGTTTGACACCATGTCCCAGTTACCATCAGTGCTGCCACTGCCAGTATCCCCGTCACTGCCACCGCCACCACCATCCCCCATCCCCACCACCACACCGACACCAGCTGCTACTCAAAAATTTCTGGGCGCATTCATGCACCCTTCATCATTGATCCACCGGCATCTTCACATATTCACCACTATACTGCAGGATCCGTGGCAACGCAGCTACCACCACGACCACCACCCCTACCCATCCCTACCACCGCACCGACACCAGCTGCTACTCAAAAAATTCCTGGGTGCATCCCTGCACCCGTCATCATTCACCTATCCACCGCTATACTGCAGTATCTATGGCAATGCAGCCACCGCCACGTCAAGCAGGTAACCTGTGCTAGCCATGTAACAATGCTGTGTGCATCACGCAGGATCGCATTGTTCCCCCGGATCCCATCACGGAGACGGAGAAGCAGTCGACGTTGCAGTCCCTCGACAACATCATCCAGTATCGGCTCGTCACCTCCAGTCTGCCGCCACAGATGAGGAATCTTACCATCGGTGAGTGAGTGAGTGATGCATGACGTCTGCTACGGCGTGCGAATATCACCATGGTAACGATGGGAAGGTCGTGGTTGTTCGTCTTACTTGTGGTGGTGCCCCGTGGTGTGTAAAAATTGAAATTGGTTGATAAAAGTCTAGCGCTGTATTGAAGAACGTGAGAGTCGTAGTTCTATTCTCTTATTAAAGTATTAGTTTTTGACTGTTTTATGAGATGGGAGATAATGCCGTATAATGTCGTTTTATGCCTGGTCTTGTAAAATTAAACGTTTAGTTGGATAAATATTTAATATGCCAGATCACCAATCTTTTGTCTGTCAATATTTCTCTATTTCCTGTCCTGGATAAGTGCGTGATATGTAGCATCTGTTAGACTCAGTGCCTACCAGAACTACTGGCTGGCTGTATGCCTAAGCCACCGCCACAGTGCAGACCCAAACATTGCATCTGTTTGTCAGTGTTAGGTAGCATATATGTTGATGTGAGTACAAAGTTCTGCATCTGTGTGTTGGTAGAATTTCATGCATGTGCAGACGTTCTTGTGATCAACTAATGAGTTTGTTTTGCTCAAACTTGTTCTTTGCAGAAGATGGCAGGGTGACATTTCATGTTGAACACGAGTTTGAGGTAGTTATATATTAAAAATTTTTCTGCACGCATCATTTAAATATATCTCTATACAGGTGTTGTGACTAACTTAAATCCCACAATTTTTTGCCAGTATAGCACTAAGGAAATCTAACAAATATATCCTCGATATAAACGTTATTAATTTGTAACCAGTGTGACGCATACTCTTGGATATCTCTTCCCAATTCTTTTGCCCCTTTTGCATAACAGTGTGTAAAATGGTGAATCATGATTTTCTGTGGGAGGTTGTGATGTGACTGATAATTGTGAGTGGTGTATCAACCTGTTTGCGTCATTACACAGGTGTCGTTAACGTTGATGGGCGATGGTCCAGTCGTTCCCTGGAGGCTGCTGGAGATTGATATTCTTGTGCAGAATAAGGAGACTGGAGGTGAGATTGATGGCATTACTGTCTCACGAGAATAACAACCTGTCTGTAGCAGATCGTATATTTTTCACGTTTTCTACTCATTATTAATGTGCTAGTAGTTTTATGAATTGGCAGTGAACTAGCGAATTCAGTTTCCCTTCGTAAAAAGCTCGATAATGACATTGGGTTTAGATGTTTCAGTTGTTTTACTATGGCATATTGTCTGGTCGGTTTTATGGTTGCCGTGGTTACGTGTTGCAGACGGGAAGGCGTTGGTTCATCCACTGCAGATTCATTACATTCATCAGCTGTTACAGTCGCGCATGATAGACAACAGTCAGCCGCTGCACGATCTCTACAACTGCCTGCGTATCTTTTCACAGAAATAAGTGTTAATTAATCACCGATGGGACAGTATAGTATATTGTATAGTGTACTATATTATAGACCCAATGTAGTATATTGTATAGTGCACTATATTATAGACCCAATATAGTATATTGTATAGTATACTATATTATAGACCCAATATAGCATATTGTATAGTATACTATATTATAGACCCAATATAGCATATTGTATAGTAT